AAAAGTGTCGTCATATGCGACGTCACGGTGCCCTTTGAAAACAGATGGATTTCCTTTGAAATGGCTAGGGAGAGGAAACTTGAGAAATACTCCGCCCTGGCCGAAGAGCTATAACGACAAGGGTACCGCGTCGTCGTGACGGCCTTCGTCGTCGGCGCCCTCGGCTCGTGGGATCCGAGGAACGAGGCGGTTCTGAGACTGCTGAGGGTTTCCTCCCAATACGCGTCGATGATGCGACGCCTCGTCGTCTCGGATACCATTCGCTGGTCACGGGACATATACGTGGAGCACGTGTCCGGCACCCGCCAGTACATAGCTCCCTCACGTACCTCTGGGGATCCTCTCGCGGCGCCACCGAGAGCAGTTCGTCGACGCTGGCTAGCCGAGGAGAGAGAACAGCAGGATGCGGCGCGTCGCGTTTCGAACATTGCGAGTGTCGCGTAAATTATCTTTGTGCTTTGTCTTGGCCCCCCCTTTTTTTCAACTCAGCGGAGAGAGTGGTCCGGTGTCCAACTTTTATAAGACTGATGACACATGTATATATATTTATTTGTTTTTATTTTTATTTCTATTTTTATTTTTTGCGTAAGTGGACTGTTGGACGAGACCCCTCTCCGCTGGTTTTAATTATTTATTTATATACCCTGTTTTACTTCTGTAACCTTTACTGTCACTAGCTCTATGCTATTCTATTCTTCACTCCTTTCCTGCTTCTTTCTTCTATCTCTATCTTCCTTCTATCTGTACTATTGTACTCTTTCTTTTAGCTTTTTAACTTATTTACACTTATTTATATATTTATTCTGTTTGTGGGGCCCTGACTGTACGAGTGTATATGTCGCGTAGCGAATATTATGTTTCAATCGAGTGTGAATGTGCGCGTTTGAATTTTATGCTTATGTATTATATAGAATTGCCGCGCGCGCTCCTCCGGGACTTTTATATTTTGACGACACCTTCTGTGATATCCCGGAGGAGCGACAACTGTGATAACGTATCCCCTCGGCCAGCGGGTCGAGGGGATGAAACCATTGTGATATTTTGCGCGGACTGGGGGCTTGCCCCCAGTCCTTTAGTTTGTAACGCCCACGCGGGGGGGGGGCCTTTGTCCCCCGCAATGAATATATTTTTCTTTTATCGGCGCGCGGCCTAGCCGCTTATTTTTGTATTACCCCAGAGGGGGAATGTCTCTCTGGGGAATTTGTCTGCTAAATAAAAGTGAGCTAATCTGTTAAAAGGTTTTCCTTTTAATCAAGGTAAGGTCTTCGAGGAGTCGCGGAGTCGGATGAGCAATCACTTTATCTGCGGCGGCAGCTTCACTCGCTTCGCCGATTGGCGCTTTATTCACAAGGCTCGATTAGACGTATTACCCCTCAACGTTGATAGAGCGAAGACAAGCGCTGTCGGCGATGCGGTGAAGTATCGGAGACTTTACCCCGTGCTCTGTCACTGCGGTGTCCATTCCGTCGCAATACAGCTGAGGCACGACGTTGTGCACCGCCTCTGAAAGTCTTGCAGGCTCTCAGGGGTACTGCGGGTTAATCGGGTTAAGCAGGTGGAGGGCGTCAGCGGCGAATTGGGGACGCTACGGCCTGATCTCGTGATCAGGCACGAGCCTTCCAAAAGCATCATCATATGCGACATCACAGTGCCGTTCGAGAATCGTTGGTCGGCTTTCGAAGACGCAAGGGAGAGGAAAATTGCCAAGTACTCTCCCCTTGCTGAGGAGCTTCAGCGTCGGGGGTACCGGGTCGTCGTGACGGCCTTCGTCGGCGCCCTCGACTCTTGGAATCCGAGGAACGAGGCGGTGCTGAGGCTGCTGCGGGTTGGCTCCCGGTACGCGGCCATGATGCAGCGCCTCGTCATCTCGAGTACTATACGCTGGTCGCGCGACATTTACGTGGAGCATGTGTCCGGCATCCACCAATACCAGGCTCCCTCCCGTCCCTCTGAGGATCACCTGGCGACGCCGCCTAGAGCTGTTCGTCGACATTGGCTCATCGAGGAGACCAACACGCAGAATGTGGCGCATCGCTTTGCGTGAGTTTGAATGTCGCGTAACTTATTATTGTCTATGTCTTGGCTCTCTTTTTATTAAACCTAGCAGGAGGAGGAAATAGTCCATGTCCAACTCTTATAAGTTAGAGTGGTTAGGGCGCTACTCGCCCATGTCATAGTTTCTCTTATAGAATGGTTTATTTTAACAATTTAGTACCTGATTGTTGGACAGGGCTTCTCCTATTCAGTCCTATAGGATTAATGCCCACGCGGGGGGGGGACCTTGTCCCCCGCAATGGAAATATATAAGAAATGGCGCGCGGCCTAGCCGCTGAATTGTATTATCTCAGAGGGGAAATGTCCCTCTGGGGAATTTCTTTGACAATTAAAAGGTTTTCGGGGTTGCTGATGCGAATCCGAACTTAAAATTTGAAAATTCAAAATGGCTGAACCAATATGGCGGCCGAAAATGCTAAAAGTCGCCCGATTTCGGTGACTTTTAGCATTGTAGCGTTAGAGGGTTTCCGTAGTCGCGGATTCCAAATCCGAACTTAGAAATTGAATTCCTTATGCATGAAAATCTTTTCGTTGTAATGACAGGCGATTAATATTTCATCGATCTGACTAAGATCGTTAAAAAAGCACATTGTCGTTAAATGCGCGCGCGATCTAAAAGTGATGTAGATTGATGAATTTTGTAGTCTGCAATTTTTAACCTTTATGATAGGCAATATTTGTGCCTTGTTCAAAAATTCCTCTCATTAAAACGCGATCCGATTGCCGTTCAGTTTCTGTGAATTTCCGAATCTGGAGACACGGTAGTGTCTGTTACGCGCAGCGACACTGCCGTGCCTTCTTTACGCGAATCGAAGAGTTGCGGCAGATTGAGGTTATCGGATCTCAATAACGGCTAAACTGATCAAGTTTTATATACGCTCAATCGATAGTTATCGCTCGGATTGTATAATAAAAGTGCTTTTATTTTTTTTCTACGTGCCCTACGAGCGGAGATATCGCGACACAAAGTTCCGAATCTTCAGATTTCAGATTCAGATACGTCGTCGTCATTGTCATTATTGTCATTGTCGTCGACCGCATTCCACACATTCCTTTCGTGTCCTTCTGACATTCCTTCCGCAAGGAGCGTTATTTCTGGAGACACGACAGTGTCGCCAACGTTAATATTTATATATATATTATCTGGAGACACGGTAGTGTCTCGGCGCTAAGCTACGCGCAGCGAGATACATATATATACATGATCAGTGAGTGCTGCGATCTAGAGACACGACAATTATTATATTAGGGTACGTATCCATGAGCGCGTGACGCGTCGCGTCGCCAAAGACCGTGTCACGCGACGCGAAAGAGAGAAAGACAGGGTAAATCACTCTTTCTCTCTTTCGCGTCGCGTTGTCCACCGCGTCACGCGCTCGGTAATATGTACCCTTAGTATACACTTTTGATTAGGTTAGGTTAGGATAATTTAGACTTACTCGACACGTTTTTGTACTGAATGAACGAATCTGGCAAAAAAAATTACTCCGTGGATCGAGATATTAATCGTTAAAGTTGATAACTATTCAGGTTAAAGCCCGATCTACAATTGCGTTAAAGTAGTTGTTGTAAGAATTGACCAATTAGAGTTGAATATTAGGGGAATATCCAACTGTGATTGGAGAATTCTTGCAACTACGACCACTTACAACTACGTTTAAAATCCTACTTGATTACAATTCTGTTCATATATATGTATAAATAAGAATTATAGGGTATTATCTTATAAAGAATGCATTAAGTATTCATCAATTTCAACAGCCTATATTAATTTATGAATACTAAAATGTCAAACGAATTTATGCATTTATGAATACTAAAATGTCAAACGAATTTATGCAAGTAATCTTGTTGCTGAATCGCTTGATGGCTTATCTATCATCAAGTAAAAGCGCGAATATTCCTATAGAAGCATATATGTATACAGATTTAAAATCAATTTTTAAATTGAAAACTGCATAGCAGATCAACCATATTCTTTTCATATAAATAAATAAATCTGAGAAGGACAAAAACTTAGGTATGCAATATATTTAAACGTGGCGACGAAGTAGATAATAATAGTACAAGTTTATGTACATATTACAGTGTATAAAAAATATATAAAAAGTTATTCCATTCGGAGTATACAGTGTTTAATACAGTGTATTAATAAAATCTATTTAATAAATTCTATTAAATAGAATCCTTATTTAGGGACCGTTTTGAGAAAATCTGCTGTAATCACTATTTATCATAATCATAATATTAACGAACGTACGTAATAAACTTTAATATTTTAGGAACATGCTTCAACGTCAAAGGATATCGACATAGAGAACCAAATTTCAAAACGAAAAATTGATTAATTTCTTTTTTATAAGGTAGATATATATATTGTATTTCAATCCATTATATTAAAAAATATATAAATACGATTATTTTTAACTGTAGTTTATTATTATTTTTTAATATAATGGATTGAAATAAAACTAAAGTAAACCTTTATAAGTCTACCTTGTAAAAAAGAAATTTTGTAATCTATTAAACCAATCAATGCAGTATTTCAGTATTTTAAGATCGTTTTAAGTAATGTCTTAATACGCTATTCTCAAAGATTTGGCGATTATTCTGGGACACCCTGTATATCAGTGTGTTTTACAATCGAGTAACTTATAACTACATGTAGTGATGTATAAATCAAATTGCGCTGATCATTGGCCATTCAGTGTAACAGCAGTTTAATTGTCCATGTTTCGTCGTTTCATGTGCCTTGGGATATCATTGGCTCGATTGTGAAGCAGTACTCGGGTTTCATGACATTTACTTCTTCATTTTCTAGATAATAAAGCTTATATGACTTTCTTTTTCGCCACATTAAACTAATAAGCGATTTATTAAAAAAAAAAAAATTATACATAAGAGCAAGCGAGAGTAAATAACTGTGCGCTGTAATTAGAAAATTAATAAAATGTGAAGTGTATTTAGTTATACTTGCGATGTAACATTCAATCGGATCTCGACAGACTAATTACTAGCCATCGTCAGCGGTTATTATCAAAAAAGTAAAAGGTTTAGAAACTCGTGTTCGAAGTTTAAATTAGCCAAAATGTTCGGTCGAACATTGCGCCACACAATTATAAATGTAACGAAAATGTAATTTTATAATTATAATTTTATTTTATAATTAACTAATCTCTACACAGTTATTTATTTTCACTTGCTTTTATGTATGCTTATAATGTTTATGAAACGATTAATATTGACAAATTATTTACTATTACAAATATCGCCATCTTGTAAGGGTGTGTTTAATGGCAATGGATAACAATCTTTTTCAATACAAGTTTCATGCACCACTCTATTAATTTCAGACGTTGTAATACCAACGTCACAAGTCTTTGCAGCTTCATCCAAGACTTCTCGACCAAGTTATGCAAAATTTAATTAAAAACAAAAAAAGAAAATCGAGAATTTATCTCAACAATACTTATCCCCCCCCCCTCTCTCTCTCTCCCTCCCTCTCTCTCCGTTGCATTCATGTTATTCCAGCACAGCGAGTACATATATATTATATCTTGCATACGACTCTCATGCTTCGACTTCATCATAAAGAATTTTTATTTGGCCAGAATACAGTTTGCTCACTGAGTGGTATCCTAGCTGGATGTAAGGCATAATCTGGTCGAGCGATACTCTCAGGAACCTCTACGTTGTTTTTTTCGTATGGCCGTAATTTTTCAGTATAATTGTAAGTAGGCCAAGGATTATAAGTGTCAGAAATTTTATTTCCGTTTTCTCCCTCTAATTATGCACAAATGTGTACAATGTATTACACTTAATGACTAAATTGATGGATAACCTTATGCATTTTCCAACTACCTTTGAAACAATTCTGAAAATTAGAATGCTTCCGATGCTACGATACGATCAATGAAGAATGGCCTTAAGATCTGACTATTAGCGTTTTCGGCCCGGCCAGGTTTGCACCAACCTGGGTTGAATTAATGACGTTTTGTGCTCTCCTATTGGTAAAGCGGGTAACGTCAACCAATAGGAAAGATTAATTAAACCAAGGTTGGTGCAAATCGGCCGATCAGGCCGAAAACGCTATATATGAATACCGGCCTATGAATACTGCCCAATGATGCATTTTTTATTCCGCAGCCCTTTTCTGCACCGTGTGATTTTACCCTAAGCCCGGACAACAGCGCTCTGATACCGAACTGATTGGTGAAAAACGGTTTATATTATTATTTAAGGTGGCGCTGTATTTAAACATGGTGACGAAGTAGATAATAATAGTACAAGTTTATGTAAATACATATTACAGTGTATAAAAAATATATAAAAAGTTATTTCATTCGGAGTATACAGTGTTTAATACAGTGTATTAATAAAATCTATTTAATAAATTCTATTAAATAGAATCCTTATTTAGGGACCGTTTTGAGAAAATCTGCTGTAATCACTATTTATCATAATCATAATATTAACGAACGTACGTAATAAACTTTAATATTTTAGGAACATGCTTCAACGTCAAAGGATATCGACATAGAGAACCAAATTTCAAAACGAAAAATTGATTAATTTCTTTTTTATAAGGTAGATATATATATTGTATTTCAATCCATTATATTAAAAAATATATAAATACGATTATTTTTAACTGTAGTTTATTATTATTTTTTAATATAATGGATTGAAATACAACTAAAGTAAACCTATATAAGTCTATCTTGTAAAAAAGAAATTTTGTAATCTACTAAACCAATCAATGCAGTATTTCAGTATTTTAAGATCGTTTTAAGTAATGTCTTAATACGCTATTCTCAAAGATTTGGCGGTTATTCTGGGACACCCTGTATATCAGTGTGTTTTACAATCGAGTAACTTATAACTACATGTAGTGATGTATAAATCAAATTGCGCTGATCATTGGCCATTCAGTGTAACAGCAGTTTAATTGTCCATGTTTCGTCGTTTCATGTGCCTTGGGATATCATTGGCTCGATTGTGAAGCAGTACTCGGGTTTCATGACATTTACTTCTTCATTTTCTAGATAATAAAGCTTATATGACTTTCTTTTTCGCCACATTAAACTAATAAGCGATTTATTAAAAAAAAAAATTATACATAAGAGCAAGCGAGAGTAAATAACTGTGCGCTGTAATTAGAAAATTAATAAAATGTGAAGTGTATTTAGTTATACTTGCGATGTAACATTCAATCGGATCTCGACAGACTAATTACTAGCCATCGTCAGCGGTTATTATTAAAAAAGTAAAAGGTTTAGAAACTCGTGTTCGAAGTTTAAATTAGCCAAAATGTTCGGTCGAACATTGCGCCACACAATTATAAATGTAACGAAAATGTAATTTTATAATTATAATTTTATTTTATAATTAACTAATCTCTACACAGTTATTTATTTTCACTTGCTTTTATGTATGCTTATAATGTTTATGAAACGATTAATATTGACAAATTATTTACTATTACAAATATCGCCATCTTGTAAGGGTGTGTTTAATGGCAATGGATAACAATCTTTTTCAATACAAGTTTCATGCACCACTCTATTAATTTCAGACGTTGTAATACCAACGTCACAAGTCTTTGCAGCTTCATCCAAGACTTCTCGACCAAGCTATGCAAAATTTAATTAAAAACAAAAAAAGAAAATCGAGAATCTATCTCAACAATACTTATTCCCTTCCTCCTTCTCTCTCTCTCTCTCTCTCTCTCTCTCTCTCTCTCTCTCTCACCAGCACAGCGAGTACATATATATTATATCTTGCATACGACTCTCATGCTTCGACTTCATCATAAAGAATTTTTATTTGGCCAGAATACAGTTTGCTCACTGAGTGGTATCCTAGCTGGATGTAAGGCATAATCTGGTCGAGCGATACTCTCAGGAACCTCTACGTTGTTTTTTTCGTATGGCCGTAATTTTTCAGTATAATTGTAAGTAGGCCAAGGATTATAAGTGTCAGAAATTTTATTTCCGTTTTCTCCCTCTAATTATGCACAAATGTGTACAATGTATTACACTTAATGACTAAATTGATGGATAACCTTATGCATTTTCCAACTACCTTTGAAACAATTCTGAAAATTAGAATGCTTCCGATGCTACGATACGATCAATGAAGAATGGCCTTAAGATCTGACTATTAGCGTTTTCGGCCCGGCCAGGTTTGCACCAACCTGGGTTGAATTAATGACGTTTTGTGCTCTCCTATTGGTAAAGCGGGTAACGTCAACCAATAGGAAAGATTAATTAAACCAAGGTTGGTGCAAATCGGCCGATCAGGCCGAAAACGCTATATATGAATACCGGCCTATGAATACTGCCCAATGATGCATTTTTTATTCCGCAGCCCTTTTCTGCACCGTGTGATTTTACCCTAAGCCCGGACAACAGCGCTCTGATACCGAACTGATTGGTGAAAAACGGTTTATATTATTATTTAAGGTGGCGCTGTATTTAAACATGGTGACGAAGTAGATAATAATAGTACAAGTTTATGTAAATACATATTACAGTGTATAAAAAATATATAAAAAGTTATTTCATTCGGAGTATACAGTGTTTAATACAGTGTATTAATAAAATCTATTTAATAAATTCTATTAAATAGAATCCTTATTTAGGGACCGTTTTGAGAAAATCTGCTGTAAGTAACCCAGATAGCAATATATATATCTGTCTTGTTGACATGTTACTTGCTAAGCATGTATTGCTAAGGTTGCTTTCCTTTTAGGAGACACAGTCGACACAAGTCGTTCTATCTTTGTCACTCTCTGAATATCAAGAAGGATAGAACGACGCTTGTGTCGACTTGTGTCGATTTGTGTCATCAAATGGAAAGCAGCCTATACCAGAATTGCGGCAACTGAGTCCTCATTTGTTGGCAACTTGATGCCTTCACGATCTGATAATATTAAGTAGCAACTTGCCAGCAATTTGCCGACAATTTTAATCTCGTCATCATCAAAATTCGTACTATTTCCATCAAGTTGCCATAATATAATATACAGCATCATACAATGCTGTCGTATTGCCGATAACGCACGATGACATTGACGCAGCTATCTTGTTGTTAAACTGTTGGCAATACATATACACATTGAGTGCTTTCCATTTGATGACACAAATCGACACAAGTCGACACAAGTGTCGTTCTATCCTTGTTGACATTCAGAGAGTGACAAAGATAGAACGGCACTTGTGTCGACTTGTGTCATCAAATGGAAAGCACCCATTGTTGTCTGTATGTTGCTACAATGTCGGTATATTCTAAATTCGTTGAAGACAAATCTACGGCTAGTTGCCAGTATCATAAGCAATCACAGATTTGTGTGATTTTGCTGAGACATGCTTTGCTATCTGGGAATGTATACTTCAAGTTTTGTTATTGACATTTAGTGTTGCCAACTTTCCTTTGATTACCGACTTAAGGAGACCATAATCTATTAAAAAAATACAATATAATTTCTTTTACTTACATTCTTTTGGTCAAAAGTCAGATTTTTAATATCCTCCAAAAAAGAAAATTTTTTTCCAAAAAGATATAAGTAAAAAAATAGTGTTTTTGATTTGTTTGATAAAATTATTAAAATTTTAGGGAACACCTCGAAAAGTAAGTAAGAATATTGAAAGGGTATAGCAGGATAAGGAAGTGATTTCAAGCCACAACACGTAATCAATTGTTACAGGAAATTTACTACAAAATTAATACTGATGAAAGAATATTTTGTGCAAAGTTTCATCCCAAAAGGGCCACACCGTTTCGAGGTATCGAATCATTAGTATTTTTTTCTCCGTTAAATTTAAACGGATCTTTACAAAAAAAGTCATGAGTATAAAGGGTATCAAAAAGATTAGAGTAAGAATTTTTTTATTATTCTTGGCTCAAAGTTCTGTTTTTAAAAAATTTAAGAATTTTTTAAATTGTATTTTTTATATGATCTGAATGTTTTACCACTTTTAAAATAATTCAGCAGCTAAATCTTATCATAATCAAATTTTTAGATTTGGTGGAACATACCAAAAAAAAATTAAAATCATTTTTTCGCCATTTTTCGACCTAAAATATATTAGTTGACGTATTTTAAGTTGTTCTTAATTCGATCCCAATTCTGCAGACAATAGTTTAAAACTTTAATATTATAGAATTCGCGTAGGTTAAACGAGAATTCCATTTTTTCTCCTTCAGAAAAATTAATTTAACTGATTTTAGCATTTATTACATTTTTTTTAAGCGAAGACCAATTTCTAACTTTGATAAACACATAAACATGATTAACTTGTCTTACTCTAATATAATGTCTTTAGGTTTTTGATTTACAAGGCTATTTAATCCAAAATTCGTTTTATATATACACATTACCAAATTAATTTTATATTTTCTATCAATTTATTTACAATCATTATTTTATGCGAAATAATAATACTTTGAAAGACATTTTTGAAAGGATTATCAAATTCTATATTAATCTTCATCGCTGTCTTCATATACATGACACGTTCAACTTTTTCAACATTAAAAAGTTTCAATAACACTTCTGCTGGCCTTATTATACGAGATATAATCAAATAAAATATATAATTGCTGCAACGTGTGAGCAACATCCAATCGTTCTTCGTCCATGTGTATAGTCACACGTATAACGTTCCAACATTATATGGATTGGATGTTGCTCACACGTTGCAGTAATTATATATTTTATTTGATTATATCTCGTATAATAAGGCCAGCAGAAGTGTTATTGAAACTTTTTAATGTTGAAAAAGTTGAGCGTGTCGTACATGAAGACAGCGATGAAGATTAATCCTGACCGTACCATCTACAATTTGGTGCCTCATCCATACTATAAAGGGTCACTTCAAATCTCTTCGTTTTTTCATTTCTTCAAAATAAATAAAAAAATCTCTAAAAATTCACCAACATACTTTCAACTTTGTAGAATAAATATTGACTCTTTATTTTGGAAAATAATAAAATGTAGTGTAATTACCGAAAGACTCAAAGAAACTTGCACGAATAGGAATCGCTCGGCCACTAGTTACCCATATTAGTACGGTAAGGGTTAATATAGTATTTGATAATTCTTTCAAAAATGTATTATTATCAAATATTATTTCGCATAAAATAAATGTATTATTATCAAAAATAAATGTATATTATGTAATAAATCAATTATTATCAAGTATTATTATTTCGCATAAAATAATGATTGTAAATAAATAAATTTATTTCTTAAAAATGGTATTTTTTTTATACAACTTTAGAAAGTGAGTTAATAGAAAATATAAAATTAAGGCGATGCTAAAGCCTTCTGTCTTACCACATTTCTATTCGGTGAAAAATCTCCGTATTGGATTGCAAAAGTATTATGACTTAAATTATAATACGCACAAACAGATTCTCAGCTGCATTGGATTTTATGAGAAAATCGAAAAAAAATTTTAAATTCGTTAAAAATTCACTTAGTTTGGCTCGTACAGCTGTCACCTCGGATATATATTTGCTTGATATAAAAATTTTAGAATCCATATCTTGAAAATAAGCGTGCAGCTGAGGTCACATTATTGAAACGAACGATACCGTGTTTGTAGAACTAAGATTGAAAGTCTAGAAAAGAAATATTTCCACCGAATAGAAAATATGTGTATACAGGTGCTTTGCGAAGACTGGGACTGTCAACAGAGCCGAAATTCCGTGTAGCAGTAGTTGCCCGGTCTTGAGATAGATGGTGCTGGCATATGTTAAATAAGAACAGATGTATGCGTTTGAGTAAGACAGAATGATATATATAATGAATTAAAGATGTCATCACTATTATCGAATTTGGAATTAAAAAAGTCTGTACTATCGATCTTGATTGAATTGGGTAATCGGTTTAACATCCCCTTAATTTGATAATGTATACATATAAAACGAATTTTGGATTATCATGTTTATGTGCTTAACATTAATTTTTATGAAGGATTTTTTTGGTATGTTCCACCAAATCTAAAAATCTGAAAAAAAGTGGTGAAACATTCAGATCATATAAAAAATGCAATTTTAAAAATTCTTGAATTTTTAAAAAACAGAACTTTGAGCCAAGAATGACAAAAAATTCCTACTCTAATCTTTTTGATACCCTTTATATGATTTTTTTTTGTAAAGATCCATTTAGATTTAACGGAGAAAAAAAATACTAATGAAAAATCACATTTTGTTCGATATCTCGAAACGGTGTGGCCCTTTTGGAATGAAACTTTGCACAAAATATTCTTTCATCAGTGTGTTAATTTTGTCCCCTGTAGCGATTGATTACGTGCCGTGGCCTGAAATCACCTCCTTATTCTGCTATACCCTGTGTTTAAATGTCATGTTTATGCTTAATTTTCAAAGTGTTTTCTATCGATCTCACATTTTCTATTAACATTATCGTATTCAGGTCAAATTTATCGGTTCCTTTTTAATATCTTTCTTTTCATCTCATGTCTAATGCTTTTTATTATTATATTTAGATAGATTATAATGGTAGACAATGTATTTTATTGATCAGTTATTAATTTTCAAGAACTGTTCGTAAAATCAGACACCGGACAAGTCTCTAAAACAGGACTGTTCGATCGAGAACTGGACATTAGCACTGATAAGATACTATTAAAAACCAACATAACGGGAATTCGCGTTTCTGTTAATAATAATAATATCCTTATATTTATCCTATATATATTATTGTATTAAATAAATGTATTAAGAAAATGTATCTTTTTCTTTTTGCAGATTTCAACGGATAAAATACATATGTATTATTGGCGCTGTGTAGCTGCCATATATATATATATATTACATATATATATATATATATACATTAGTTGCTCATTGGCGCTGTGTAGCTGTCATAGCGCTGACATTATAGCTGCTACAAGCGCTGTATTTCATTGATAACTGCCATAGCTCTGATAAATACTATAGCTGCTATATGCGCTGAATTTATTTGTTTTATTACAGTAAAGAAATAATTATAGAAAAATAATTAATTTTTGACAGGAAATATGTGTGTGCATAAAAAAACATATAACTTCGAAGTCTACAGACAGAAATATAATTGTCAACGGCGAATGGTTGACAGACACACATATGGAACATTTTCATAATCTTTTACGAAATAGTTCAGATTACACACCTGTCGACACATGACGCAAACAACTTCCCCACACGATACAACCCGTACCGAAAGATAAAAAGCATATTCAAATATTGCATAGTGGATCCAGTTCATTGGATGGACATTGGGTATGCAGCTATTACGATAGGAAAAATATATTAATATACGATTCTTTCAATAATGAAAGATTGCATGAACATCACGAGATATTTTTGAAGAGATTATTTCCAACATATGACTTTAAAAAAAATCCTGTTAAATTTCCTAAAGTGCACCATCAACCGAACTGTAGCGATTGTGGTGTTTTTGCTACAGCTTTTGCAACTTCGTTATTATTCAATATTAAGCCTATAATAGTATTATAAGTAATATATAATAGATAAAGTAATATATGAACATAAGTTAATTTTCAGCCTGATAAAGTAATATATGAACATAAGTTAATAATACAAATGCGTTCGCATTTGATAAAAATTCTTGAAACAAATGTTATTGTACATTTCCCTCAAGATCCACAATATGTTGCTCAAAAAGTACTTCCAATAGCAGTAATAAGAGCAAGAGAAGCTGAAGCGGTTTGTAAACGTATAATGCGTCAATATCAGACGAAAGAACAGAAATTGAGTCAATTAGCAAAACGCTGTGATAATTATGCTACTACAAAAGAATTCAATGAATTACAAACGCTTCAAAACGTTACGAAAGAAATACAGTTATCGCAAAGTATTGTGAAGGAAATACAGTTAACACAAAATGATTCAGGGAAAATTATGAACGTAGTCAATAATGTTAATATAATGTCTGCAAAGGCAAGAGACCCTATTTTAATGCCTGCCGATAAAGATATCATTGATCGAGGCGATTGGCTTACGGACGTTCATATGGATCATTTCCTACGACTTCTAGCAAGTTGTTCCGATTATAGACCTGTCGAAACATGGCGGATACAATTATTAAATACAATACAACCTGTGTCAAGTGACGCAAAGCATATACAAATATTACATAGTTCATCGGGTTCATTAGATGGACATTGGGTGTGTAGCTTTTATGATACGAAAAATATATTCATATATGATTCTTTAAATAATAAAACATTGTACAAACAGCATGAGTTATTTTTGAAAAAATTATTTCCAATATATGATTTTGATAAAATTTCCAAAGGTACAACGTCAACCGAATTGTAATGATTGTGGTGTTTTTGCCATAGCTTTTGCGACGTCTTTATTATTTAACCTTAAACCTGACAAAGTTACATATAATCATAAGTTAATGCGTTTGCATTTGATAAAAATTCTTCAAACAAATGTAATTGAGCATTTCCCTCAAGATCCACAATATACTCATCCTCAAAAAGTACTTCCAATAGAATAAAAGCAAGAGAAGCTGAAGTGTTTCGGATACACACAATCCGTCAATTAACAAAATTTCATGATAATTGTGCTGGAAATATGCTTCAAAATATTACGAAAGAAATGACGTTACCGCAAAGCATTTCAAATGAAATTACACAAAACACTTCGAAAAAAATTGTAACAGAATTAGTTAATAATAGTCAAATTGAACAAAATGACAATAAATATTTTGAAAAGCCATATGAAAAGACTTCAAAAAGTAATCGTGATATACAATTAGCAAAGCGTTTCGCAGGAAATTATAATAAAAGAACTAGTCACACACATTAATACTCAGACTGAGCAAAATAACGATAATAATAAATATTTTGAAAATGTATGTCAAGAAGATTCCAAAAATAATCCCAATATAAAGCGTTGCTTAGACGAACAAAATTTAGAAAATAAACGTGCTAAAAGACGTTGCCGATATAAAGAGAATTTAGAATATAATCGTTTCCAAAAACGTCAACATTATCATCAAAATTTACAAAATAATCGTGTAAAAAAAATGCAGCGATACAGAAGACATTTGGTAAATAATCGCGCTAAACAAATGCAGCGATACAAAAAGGATTTCGAAAATAATCGCGCTAAAAAATTGCAGCGATACAGAAGAGATATGAAAAATAATCACACTAAACAAATGCAGCGATACAGAAAGGATTTGCAAAATAATCGCGCTAAAAAATTGCAGCGATATAGAAGAGATTTAGAAAATAATCGTGCTAAAAAATGTTCTCAATATGAAGCCGACTTAGAAATTTATCGCACTAAAAAACGAATACGTTACTTGATAAATTTTCAGCATGAATGCGATAGAAAAACATTTTATTGTGACCGTAAGTGGTTCTACAATAAACGATATTATGAGAAAAAGAATTCAAAACCTAGTTTTGTAAACAAAAATTGTGATACTGCTAAAAATATTATTAGAAAATATAACAAATTTTGGTCACGAAATTACATAAAATATTATAATCCCGTGGCAATCGAAAATATTTTTAACAAATTAGATATTAAAAATCACATTGAAAAACGATTGAAAGCCGAAAGAATTGTACGTCGTTGTATGCAAATTCGAGACAGTTATATTCGTGATATGTATAAAATATTAGCCTTGCTTAAAAAGAAATCAGAAGTGTGTTTGAGTCTTGCTACTAAATGCGAAACAATTGATGAAAAATTATGTGCTCTTTGTGACAAATCGAGACATACAACACTTCGTCCGAAAATTATTTTATCGATTCTACATATTGTAACGTTTCTTCATCACAACATTTATTAACGAATGTGGAGGGTCAAATTACAAACGTATTACCTTTGATAGAAGCACAAGCAAAAAAAGCATGGTTATGCGACGATAACTTATGTAAAATTGATCCGTTTCTAATTTAATTGTTATGAAAAAGTCCTCCAAACGATAAGTATATGTACCTTTAAGAAAATACCAGAATTATTACAAAAGATTCATAAATGTACAATAAAAACAGATTCGAATACGAAATCGGGTCATACGCATAGTTGTTATATTGATACAACT